GACACATAGCATTTGCGGTTCCCACACGGTTTTCTGTGTGGAAGACCGTGCGGGACAAAAACGCATTTTTTTTAATTAAATAGCCGCAAACGTGCGGAATCCGCCAGATTATCGAGCTTGCACTATTTTGGGGGCTGTGCGGTTTCGTACAATGCAGCCCCCGCAATGGTCTGAACGATGCACATTGACGTGCATTGAATTCCCTGTTTAGAGCATCTCCGCGTGTATGCGTACAGCCGAATAAGCGCGGACAGCCACTCAGGTGTGAATGGAGTATTATACTGGTATACTACAGTTTCTAAACATTCCAGAAAACAACAATTTTCAAAGTTGTATAGGATACATTCTCTTTCACAAAGTAACCAGAAACAAAATAAATGACTACAACCAGTGGCGTAACAATCGACATAGCGACCCATGCGGTCGCTATGGGGCCCGGGGGACAGGGGGGCATGGCCAGGACATCCCTGATGCCATGCGGGCGCCTGAGTCGCTATGGCATCTCATGCTGCTGGCTGTCACTGGCGGCTGTGAAGAGGAACGTGCCGCAGTTCAGATCCCTGACAGTTATCTGTGTAGTGGTGCGTTCCTCTCCAGAGCCGCTGCTGAGTCAGTGGGAGCCAGCAGCGGTGGTGGAGAAGGCTGGACCTGGCAGTGGAGGAGGAGGCCGGCCCAGGGGGGTCGGCAGCAGAGGAGGAGGCGGGGCCCGGTGATGGAGGAGGCGGGCCCGGTGACAGAGGAGGAGGCGGGGCCCATCAGCGACCATGGAGTAAGAGGAGGCGGACAGGTAAGGAATGTGAACAGCCCATCTGAGACCCTGCAGAGACCACCATAGAGATTCTGGGAGAGTCTATGGTGTGCTCTGCAGCTTCACCCTAAGGTGGGCTGTGTGGGATCTCAAGTGGGCTCTGCAAGGGGTGTAACTAGAAATCACAGGGCCCCATACAAAATTTTGCTATGGGGCCCTGTGATTTCTAGTTACGCCCCTGACTACAACGCCTTTTTTTTTAAAGTCAGGTTAACAAGCCCTTCCTCTGCCCGGCACCTTGAAGCACTGCTAATGAATGCCATTACCCTAATAGCCTGAGCAAGGTCAGCTTTAATGGAGACTCCCCAAATATAGGGTCAGTTCACAGAGAAGCAGTTATTCTACCTTTGTTCATATTTTAATAATGAGACAATTTGCTCATTAAAAAATGTTTACATTCACATGCTTAAAGTGCAACTGAAGCCCAGTCTTTTTTTTTTTTCAGTTTAGGATAGAGCGGGGAAGGTTTAAAACATGTCAGTTTTTGGGGGGTTTTCGGCAGCTAGAACACCTGTCAGGCTTTTATTTGTGTCTGTGTCCCCATTAGGGAGATCTACCTCCTCTATTTGTGACCGTTATCACTGAAAATGAAAGAAAATCCCACATTATGGGTTGTTGTCAGAACAGGAATATATGTGAAATCTTCCAATGGTGACACTAGTTCTGGTGACCCTGTTGATCACCAGGGATTTCCCTTTCTTTGGAAGGATTTCCTCTGACTTCCTGTTGTAGCTATCAGACAGGCAGTTAAAGGAGAACTATGGGGTCAGTGTTTTTCCCCATAGTTCTCCTTAGGGTAACGGGAGGACACAAACTAGCGTCCTCCCGTTACCCTAAGCTCAGTATACCGTGAGCTACAGCTCGCGGTATACTAAGATGCCGCAGCCGGAGTGGATCCCGACGTAGATGACGGGATCCGCCGAGCTGCGTGAGTGACAATGTTACTATTTACCTGTTTCAGTAAGCATGCCATTGATGCTTTCTTGAAGTGCACAGCTTGCTGAAGAATCTTCAACATCCAACTCATTTCTAGATGTGGCAGATGCCTGCTTTCCCCTGCACTCTGTGGTTTCGTCAGCTGGCCAATACTGTGTCCTGCAGTGACATTGTGGCCGTCAGCTGGAAGGAACCACAGCATGCAATGGGGAAATAAGAAATTAAAGGGTCACTAAACTTAGTCAAGTCTTAAAAATGCATTCAAGTATCTTAACTATTAACAAACATGTATTATTTGTGCATCACTCGGCTGTAGATCCTCCAATCATCTCTGAATTGGTGCTGACACCGTCCTTCCTTCTGGAGGGGGGCTACTTTTGTTCCCCATGGTCCCTGTGTGTTGTAAAGTAGCCACCTCTCCAAGCTCGCTCCTATGATGGACTACAATCTCATGTTTAGTTTACTAATTTGTATTGAGATTGTAGTCCATCACAGGAGCGAGCTTGGAGAGGTGGCTACTTTACAACACACAGGGCCCATGGGGAACAAAAGAAGCCCCCCTCCAGAAGGAAGGACGGTGTCAGCACCAATTCAGAGATGATTTGAGGAACAGGAAACGCCTGTAAAACGCGCTGAAACGTGTATTAAAAACACACAAAAATGCGCCAATAAACGCGCTAAAGAGCTGTCGCCCTGGTGTGAATAGGGTCTTATACCGAACAATTAATCATATAAATTACCAACAACACTAAGGGGTTCTATTTACACAAGATTCACACATTTTAATAGTTGGATTCAGTTTGAAAAATATACGAATGCTAGGTGAATGTGGTATGCAAATTGTGTGAAAATATTTAAAAATAGACCCCTAGCAATAGAAATCCTTTTTTATCTCCTTGTAAGGGTTTTCTCATCTCTATTCTCTACGGTTCTCCGTGCTGTATTGGTCTTGGATATTATTTATAAACACAAAGATAGTTGCTCCCAATATTGATAATAATATTCATAGAAGTTTATAAACACAACACAAGTCAAGCCATCCTGATATAAAAACATCCCAATAGCGTGGTTGAGACAATCACATACATGATCAAGTTTTCCTATGTAGATTATCTAAGCCAGCTAAGCTTGGCATTGGCCTTGGTCGGCCTTTTGTAACTGGTTCCCTGAGAGGTTACAAGGGGTTCCTTGAGCTCCTGCCCCATGGATGGTACACCCGTAGCTCTGACACCGAGACCACTCAGCAGAGCCAGCAGAGGGGGACCAGTGGAGCTTCTCCTCTTGTTTCTCATGTAAGTAACCACTGACAATAGTGATCATTTTGGATGTCTGTATGGGGGGCTTCGGGGGCATTCTTCCAAATGACATATAAGGAGCAATCCTCCTATATTAGGAGCAATCTTCCCCCAATTATCTCCCAAGGTACAGGGACATTACACTGACCGCCATGGTAATGGCCATTCTTCCCCCTGACCATCAGTGTAACAGACTAGGTGTGCAAGGAGCAAAGCACCAAATTCACAACATAGTCCAGATTAAATTTCATTCAGACTCATATCAAGAAGTCAACGTGTTTTGGAGGTTAAAAGGGTCACCCTTTCATAGTGACTCGGTACTGTTGAACAAAGTGTGTACTGGACCGATAAAAATGGAGGGATCGGGGTAGGTAGGATGATCGTTCCAGATGCGGGTTAAGCAAAAACTGGCATCAGGAGCAATCATACAACTTACCAGGATCCCTCCAGTTTTATCAGTCCAGTGCATGCTTTGTTCAAGCCTTGATGAAGGGGGCTCTTTGAGACCCCAAAAAACGTTGGCTATTTAAGTTATAAGAATCTGAATGAAATTAAATCTGGAATTGAAACGTTCTGCTTTGGGCACATTTCTTCTTGAAGACCCAGTCCCTACTCATGCAAAGAGACAACCTTTCGGCCACCACTTCTTGGAGAGCTGCCTAAGGAGAATTTTTTCCTCCACTCTCCTGACTGGAACATTTACTACTTTAAGAGATCCAATGCCCCACGCCTTTCTTCTACTTCCCATCAGTCCTATACTGTATTCCTTTCATGGACCACCAGTTTAAGGTGGGCCTTCTCTCTCAACCAGGGTTCCATGGGTATCCTATGGTTTCTCCAGAGGTCCTTAGGGGCTCCTTGAGCAGTGGTTGATTGACTTCCCATTGGATGGTGCCTGCATAGTTCCAGGGCCAAGACCACTTGAAAGAGCCGTGGGCACAACAGCAAGTATCTTTTTAGTTGTCTTTAAGGTTGACATTCTGACCACCAATGTAAGGTGGGCATTCTTCCCACTGACCACCAATGTAAGAGGATTATTCTAACCACTGACCACCAATGTAAGAGGGGTATTCTTCTCATTGATCACTACTGTTAAGGAACATTCTAACCACTGACCACCAACATAAGGTTGGGGGGTATACTTCCCACTGACCAGCAATGTAAGGGGGTATTCTTCTCATTGATCACTACTGTAATCTTCCTAATGACCATCAATGTAAGGCAGGGCACTGTTCCCACTAATCACCAGTGTAAGGTGGGGGGCATTCTTTCCACTGACCACCAATGTATGAGGGGTTTTCTTCTCATTGACCACTATTGTAAAGGACATTCTAACCAATGTAAGGGAGCGC